ATCTGCTATAGAAACCAAAGGCCAACAGTTGTTTTCTAAATTATATCTGAGAAATGAGTATCAAAGAAATGAAATAGTGACATCATTCAGGACTTCAGAATCAATTACTCAGATAACAGAAATTGAAAATGATTTGTCTGTTTCTATTGCAAGTTTTTAAATCCTAAGATCACTGTACGCTATTTACGTGTTTGTAGTTTGGGATAACTCTTGTGATATTTTGTATTATCCACAAATCGATAAACAGATCAGAAACCAACAATTAGGTTTTTATGCAGGTTGAACTGTAACCAACTTATATCTTATTCTTCTGCTTTGTTAACTTAAAACTGCTAAAACATAAAGAAACCCAGCCACACTGCTATACTAGAAGAAATGTTCCTTCATTACTATGAGCCTGGGTATTGAAGTTTATTGAAACCAACCACAACTACACATTTCTGTAGCTGTAAGCACCCACAGTATTAGCACTCTAACTCCGCATCAGGAAGTATAGTCCAAAATAAATGTTTCACATCAGCTTGAGTAAAGTAATCTTAAAACTACAGTGCTCAGCTTTTTTATGAACTCTTTGTAAAATCAAAACTCTATATTTCAGACTTTTTCTTAAAGCTCCTGTGAAGAATTTTCATTTTGTTTGAATTTTGGCACCCCTTCAGGAAAAAGCCCTACATCTAATCTTGTCATCTACATGTGTCAACATTGCTTTTTGATTAAAAAAAAAAAATCCATCCTACTTTCTTCTATCAGTCAAATGGAGCAGTGATTACACCCTGTCCGACACCAACCCTGCGGCAGCAATTTCAAGCATTTATAATAACTATATAAAAGTAATTAGTGTTGTTGCTGATGGTCTCATTTGCTTTTGGAGGTCATTAAGAGGCATCCGAATGAATTTCAGTTTCAGTTTTATAACCTGCTCAAACCTCTTCACGGGAGCTTTAAGAAGATAAATATGTTCACTATGGGGATCTCAGGACTTGGATGTTAAGGCCACAGAGTAGCAAACATTGGTGGATTTGATCTTTCATGAGACTTGTAAATAAAAGATAAATACATATATTTGTTATCCTTTTAATTCAAATGTATAAATAGTGTTTATCAAACTGCTTAAACAGTTCGATAAAGTCATCAGAAAGTGAGGGTAAAGACATCCCATTATAATGCTTTAAAAGTGCATGAATGTTTTTATTTTTTTATTTTTTTACCCTGCTTGTAATTAGCTGGATCTTTTTCTCAGCAGCATTCCCTAATCAGCTGCTGTGACACAAAGACAAACCTCATTTCCTCTCAAATTTGCACAATGACCTCAGCCTCCAGGCTCAGCCAATCAGATCGACCGGATGACCTCAATATCCTGGTCCACCCGATCAGAACATCTAAATGTGTTCTGGTGCAATGAGGTCTGCAGCAGAGGTGTCACTCGGTGCCCTGCTTGAATGATTTTCCCAGGTCCTGTGCGGCTTTTTGCCCCCTGCCTGACTCATTTGCAGGTGAGTCACTGGCAGCAGTGCAAGCTTGAATTGTTGTTGCATAGGAACTGGTTGACAGCATGTTTTTTTTTTTTACAATGCAAAGGTCAAATAAGAAACGTAAAGCTGCAATTTCAGAAAATAAAGAACTGGAAGATGTCCATTTAAACTTAAAGTCGCTACAAAGTGCACACAAAAACAAAACATGTTAAAAATGTTTTTACTCCACGCTGGTCTGCAGCAGCAGCATCATAGGAAAGACTCTCTACATGCCTGTTTGAATTGTGGAGGCACAAGTGGAGAAAACACTTTAATTGACATATGAATATGCAGTGGTGCCTCAATCCTGGGCCTGAAATAAATCAAGAAAATCCAGGAGCTATCCCAAACCTCAGCACCCAACCTTGGTTGTATTCTGTGGTTGTTGGCAAGTTTGGATCCGTCGTGACGCCCCGAGATCTGGCTTCCTGTGGTTCTGCACTTTACCTCCATATCGAGGTGACTGCATGGCCCAAGCAGGATCTTTAGCTCCTCTTATGTCTAATGCCTTACAGTGAAAAGACACTGATTCACTTACATGCCTTTTTATTAGCAGTAGCATAGTAGTTTCACTGCAAATGATTATATTTGTAGTACTGTGGTTCATTATTGGGCGGTTCCTACGGGTTAAAAAAATCATTGGCATAAAACGCGTTTTCTTTAAATTGTTTTTATTTCTGATTAATTTGATTGTAGACCTAACATCTGCTTTATTCCACTTACATCTTAAGTTGTTACTTAAACTTTCAAAGATTCCTTCGTTTCAGTTTAAGAGTGGCCTCCATTGTCAGTTTGTTACCTCTGCAGACTCTTTGTTTTCTGTTGACTGTGATGGAAAAGGACTAAATTTGCCATTGAATAAATTTCTGAAGTATTTACACTTTACACTGGAATTTTCCATTTTCCAAGTTTATTCTCCTCCCTCCCCTAACTTCAGATGGAAATATTGTAATAACATTAAAGGTCCTGGGAGGGACTCATGGTTCATTTTGGAAACACTGACAGACGAAGGTTGTACTTTTATCTTTAACCAAAAAAACAATCTTGCTGTCTCTCTAAATTTTTGTCCCAAACAAAATACATCTTACTGTTGCTTATTTTAGTTTCGTAAAAATCGGAGTGCTTGTTGTTGTTTAGGATTTGCTTTTACTTGTCTTTAAATCGAAGAGAAACTGGTTCTTGTGAAATCACCAGCTTCTTTCTAAAGGACTAAGGGGGCGTGGAGAGAATTTTCAGTGTAGGGGTAAAGAGGGTGTTTGTAAGTGTGCAAAGTCTGGGCAAAGGGCCCAGTGTTTGGCCACATTTGTAGTTGACTCTACACGTGAAAGCCTTCAGGGCACAACAGGCAAAAGCCCCAGTATTTAGAGGGGGGGAAAAAACCTCCCATTATTGAAGCATCTCAGCAATAAACTCACACACACTTTCACACACCCTTCCTAAACTTTGGTGATGTCAACATCAGTGCAGTTGTACCTCCTGGAATGACAGCAGCACTGATATCTGGCACACCATCACATGGTCACGTCAGAGGTGACTGATGGGGGATCTGCATCCAGGCCCAGAAGCAGGTCCAGGTCCCTCCTAGCTCAGACAGCCAGCCAGGCGGGCCAGCCAGCTCTCCAGCTACATGTGAATAACTTACATATATTAAAATACATGGCAGCCAAATTGGCTCTGAGCAGAGGTCAGAGCAGCTAAATGTGCAGGTTCAACAGCTCCAAACAACAGGAACGTGCTGCTGAAAGAACATTTACAACGTGACAGCGCTGTAGTCCTATTAGCAGCATGCTGTGGTAATGACTTGTATAATAATGTGAAACAATGTCATCCTTTAGCTTATTTGTGGTGAGGTACAATATAAAAATAAACGGTGGAAGAGGGATTTTGATATTTTAAATTATTTTCAACAGATCCAATGAAAAACCAAATTCCAGAACAAATGTGTTGTACTATTGTCTTCGTTTTCCAAATTTAATGTACGTTGATCCTACAGGTATGTGTCATATAGCAGCATAGGCTGCGGTATAAAAACTATTTCATGCAAAATAATACTTTGTACATCCAAATATTTGACATGTAGATTCAGTTGATAATTGATGAAAGAGTATGATGTAGATATCCTGGATTTTCTTTCTTTTCAAGAATGTGTAAAAACTGTAAAAAACAAAATTAATAGGCAACCTCTTTTTACCCTTAAGACATTTCTGTACCATGCACATGGGCATTGTAGTTTGAGTCAAACTCAAAGAGTACCAAATGAATTCATGCACTGCACACTACAAGTTGGGTAGAGTTTGTCAAAAACTACAGTACCCAGCTGTTCTAGGAAACCATGTTACTTTTTCCAGGTTTCCGTTTCCAGTGCCAAAGTAACAGTAAAATCCACGGCTGTCTACTTCTGCATATTCTTATTTTTGTCTTTATCTACTGTGCATATCATCTTATATATTGCAGATTTATAACAAATCAGACATTTATTATGATCCTGTGGTGTTGGCAAGATGTTTGTAATTCAATGACATGTAAATACTATCTTAACTTATTGAGTATCTATATGCATATTCAAATCCATAAGTATTCATACATCTCAACATCTATTGTATACAGTTGTCCTTTAGGTCCTCAATGAATACATAAAAGCGTTGTACGTCTACATTATGTATTTAAATCACAGTCATTGACTGTTTGTGAGACGGCAGCATTGTGTGTGTGTGTGTAACATTCAAAGCAGTTTGACAGTTAAATGTACAACAATAAAATTACAGAGACAAAAGTTCTTTGTTTACAACTGTATTTAGATTTAGAGACTTTTTAAAACCAATTAATAAATTATCTGGTAACTACTTTTCCAAAAGTTCATAGTGTGATGATATTTACATCATAGAATAAATTAGAAATAAAAGACATTCAACATGTTTTTTTTAGAGAGGCTTGTATCAATTATCTTAACCCTTTAGGCTCTCATGACATAAGAATGGATTTTTTAAAGAACAATATGTTCTTCAGAAGTTTAAAGCATACTCTCCATATGCTTACTAGTTGGGTAACAGTAACGTGAGATAACAGGAAAAATAACACCCTCTTATGTGATCTTTTTAGACCCAAATATATGTGAAAACATCCCATGCCTACTTAGAGGGGAAAGGTCAATTACCTGTGTGTGGGAGGGCATTTAACAATGAATCAGAAGTTGACCTGCTTATCCAACACTTTACATATCAAAGGTATTTTTCTGTTTTTCCCTTTTCATTAATTTTTAAGAAAATCTAATATTGGTGTAATTCAAACACCTAAACTCATTTTATTCAACCAGTAAAGGTTCTACTTGGACAGAAGAAAATGACACATACAGAAAACAGCTCACTGACAAATAAATACCAGGAAACATTGACATCTTACAATAGTGAAACGCTTGCCTTCTCCATTTTGCACTTCTCATGTCAAACATTAGAGTTTTCAGATGAAGGGGCGATGGAACAACACACTTTCTTTACTACCTTTGGAAACCGTGTCCCGGACAGATTAACTTACATGGCCAATGATGCATGAGGTGTTTTGGAACAGAAACACTGGCTTGATGTTTAACTAGATTCAGAACTTGAGTTGCCTTTTGCAGGGAGGTAAATTCAGTCAATCTCCATTAAAATAGCACTGTACTCCTATGAAAGGGAGCAAACTTCCTCCCTGTGAAGTGGCATACCCAGTGTCACTTTCTTTAACACTAGTTCCTCTGACGATGAGTAGAAGAGTGGTGTGATACAAAGGCCGACAAAAACAAGATGTGCTCAATGCGCCACCAAGGACAAACCAATCAAGCACAATTACTCGTTTGGTCTTTCTTGTCCCGTCGTTTGCATCAAGCAGCTGGTCCGTGTTTACTTGTGCATAAAGCCTCCACCATCGTCCACCATCCTCTTCTAGAGAACAGAACCTATGTGCACCAGATATCGTCAGCTCCCATTGGTTATTATAACAGAGGTGGCCTTATGTCCCTGCATCTGCTCCGCTTGCATCCTTACATGGGATGCCATATCGTACTGGACTCCCCCACAGGCCAGGCTGGAGTAACTCCTCAGGTTCTCTGGTCGTACAGGTGCTCCAGAGAGTACCCGGTTAAAGCGTAAGCCGCTTGCCTATCCAGCGGCTGTCGATCTTGGGCTGTGTAGAGCAGCGGGCTTCCTTGGGGCTGTTGAGAGTGAGGTGAAAGATCAGTCTGCATGTAGTCTTTGGCGAGGGAAAGGCCTGATCTAGGGATCCCATCCGAGCTGGGGCTGCTGAGACGTGAAATGGACGCCGGACTGGTCGTGTTGTCGTCATTGTCATGTGGACAAGAAACTTTGACTCCATCCCGGTGATGGAGGCGTTCACAAGAGAGGTCCATGCTGGGGGCTCCGGGACCACGGCACACCACACTGGGCATGGTGAGCTGGGAGTGGTGGGGTAGCGTGGAGGTAAAACATGGGCTGTGAGCTTTGGCCAGTCCAGAGACGTCCAGTGGCGCCTTGTGTTGCTGCAAACGAGTCTCTTCCTCTTTGATCATCTGCTGCGTGGCTCGGATTAGGGTCTCCATCTTGCTTGGTTCTCTAGGGGTTGCCCGGAAGTGGTCACCATGGTAGCGCTCACCGGAATCACTGGTGGACCCACCTCCATCAGGTGAACTCACTACACTGTCTTCATCCCAGTGACCCCGACCTGTAAGGAGAGTTCAACGGCCATATTTTAATACAGATAATTAAAAAAAACAACATTGTCTTATTACTTAATTTGATACTTTGTGCTTGCATTCCCACATTTTAAGATCAGATCATGATCTGCCTCCTACACTTCTTCTCAAATACTAGTACAAGTTTTCTAAACCAAAAGTTGCCTATGTAAGTGTGCAATTCTTCTTTAAATGTGTAAAGAATTGTGGTCCGTTATACTGAATCTCTTGGCAGAAGCACACAGGGGGTTGATTCCCTGTTCGAGATGTAGAATAACTTGGCTTTCAATTGCAGGCAATTTTTAAACAGATGGTAGCAATCACCACACTGGCAAGAGACGGCGTAAACAACTTAGCATGTCCCATAATAACATTTGGAAAACAGCTACCAGGAGAAGCTAGGCCAGAGCTATTTTCAGAGACAGATGGTTGTGGTCTCAACCCTGACACCTCACCGTGAATGGCTCCATGGTAGGATGTGATTTCATAGCCCTCACTGTTCTCTGCAGACGACTTCGGCAGTGAGAGAACAGAGCGCGTGGCGTCCCACCACATTTCCCTTCCCGACTGTGGCGTTCCTAAGAAGTAGCGGCCACTCTGGCATCGCACCCGGTCACATGTGGTGGTGTGAGGATGGGTTGTCGCATGGGCAAGATCATCTTCTGATAGACCCAGGCCGTAACACAAGGATCCCGCTTCGGGATACAGTCGGTAGGCACAGGATGCCTCCGCAGCCTCAGTGGGGTCCAACAGCTGAGGAGACGCAGAGTCAGTCAGCGGGCTCCCTCCCCACTGGCTGTCTTGGTCCGACTCTGAACGCTCTGGGTTGAAAGCTGAAAACTGCAGTCAAAAAAAATAAAATAAAAATCACATTCTAGCCTTGGAGATTATTTTTAACAAGCAAGCCTGCACAAGTCTCTTTTCTTGGTTTAGCTCCATTATACAGGCTCTTTATTACCTGGGGGTAGGGTGATACTCTGGCTTTGGCCTTCGCTGGGGTCAGACGTGACTTGGTACTCTTCCTGTCTTCACTGTGATTGTCGGCGTAAGGGAAGGCAGGCTTGGTTGGGCTCATTTGGTCCAATGACAGCTGCATTCCCTTGTACTCAGTATCCCTTTTGACACAAGCGAAATACATATTAAAGACAAATGTGCAGTTTTAACCCATATTTATCAAATCTGTGGCTTTTTAGCCAAGCTAGATCCTCTAGGTATTGTAATTCTGGATAGAGGACAACTTTGGTCAAAATTTAGCTATCTTGATTTTGAGGGTAATTACTCAGCACCTTCAGGACAGATTGCAAAGAAACTAGTTCCATGTGTTAATTCCCCCTCAGGACAGTGTCAAGGGAACCAGGGGAAAAATCAGCAGGTTATAATGTAACGTGTTGAAGAACTTAAAATACTTGAGAAACTAAAAGGGTTTCATGTAATATACCGTATAGAGCAATTTTATGATGGGCATTTGTTTTCATTATCCAATCATCTGACAATTTTTCATATGATTGTGAAATAGTTTTTAAGTTTATGAATGTAAGAAATTATTGTTTAAAATTATTTTACAATTTTCCTGAACCGAAACTGTTCAAACTGATCAATTTCTGAAACCAGCAATTCAAACCCAAAGAATTTTCATGTAAAAATCTGCAAATCTTTCTGAAACTGTTCAACATTTTTGCTCAAAAATCTCAGAACCATATGAATAATTATCAAAATATTTGCCATTTAAATTAGCTCTTGATTAGATTGTTGATTACTGGGACAGCTCTAAAACTAATGACCTTCCCATCAGCCAATGTTAGCATGCTAGCTAACTAACTAAGACGAGGAGATGACACTCTTAAAACTATACATTTAAAAACATCTGCTTGGTGACTTTGTCATCATTTGCTTGCTGGCATCAGCTCCACATTACCAAACACAAATCCCTATAGATGCATTAGACTCTTACGTTTTATCTAAATATAAATGCATCTCAACTCTTAAAAAGTCTTAGCTTTGTCTTCTGCAGACCACTGAGCAGGTACATTGCGCTGTTGATGGTTGAGTGCTTGCAGAGGGCAACTTTGATTGTTGTTGAAGGAGGGCATAGCGTTCCTTGTTCACCTTTCCCCTACAGATCAATCATTTCAGTGCTCCTTAAACCTCTACGCTAACATCTCCAGCATATCATATTGATACTCTCTTTGTATCTTATACAGTCTTTGTGATAGTGTTGCACCAAGTGACATAATCAGTAATTTATCTGCAGCAGACATCTCCACCAATATTAAATAAAGATACATAGCTGCACAGACATATTGCAAACAGACTCTTAATGCCACGAAGGACAATATAACTATGAGATGTGAAAACAACATTTAAGATAAGCTCGAGAGATTAAGCTCTCCCACTTCTGAGAAAGCAACAGACAATGTGAAGAAAGTTAATCATTCCTTTTAGCAGTATAACCATTGCTAGACCATGCCAAATAGCGGTGTGCAAACACAGACGCATGCATGTGCACAGAAACTATCTATGCACTGATGCTCTTCTGCAGGAATCTAATAAAAACTTTTTTTTTACATGTACCCTTGCATGCAGCTTGTACAACATCTTTGACACTTTAACCCACTGTCCTGCGTCTGAACTCGATCCAAGCGTCACTGTCGAGGGAGTGAAAAAGGCTCCTGTGTCAAGTGTTCAGCAAACATGAGCCTATTCTTAACTTATCACATCAACAGTATGTAATAGCAGCTGCCTGGCATTTTAAACCCTGTGGCCCATCCCTGACCCTGCACAGTCCGCCTCTTTAATATGACTCTAAATATGACCCATTCTTCATGTACAACACCTCTGGGGAAAGACTGTGTTTGGAGAGCCAGTGCACAGTGTGAGTGTTATTTGCTCTTGCAGGTATAGTTGCCGTGGCTGCTTCTGCATCCTATCTGCGCCCTGGCTGACTTGTGTCTGAGCCAATAATGTCGGGCCGTTGTGCAAACTCAGCTGTGTTAGCCGAATTCCACCTCAGGGTCAATGTCAGAGCACCTCACGCCTGAAAATACGCCACCAGCCAACCTCTAAACATGATTTATTAATGGATTCATGCCGGGTTAAAATGCTGTCAGACCAAGGTGATTGAATTTGTGTTTGCTTTTTTAAATGTAGTTGTTTTATGTTGTGTAGTCGTGCTAGCGCTAAGTGTTAGCTTTTGGCCATATCTGTGGGAGAGCTAGTTTTGCTGTTAAAAATTCACTGTCATTTTAATGTAGTTACCTTGTTTTCTTCTAACTGCATTGAGGAAATCGATACCCGGAGTGCAGCTGTATGCATGCGCTACACGTGTGCAGACTCACAAACACACACACACACACACACACAGAAGGACTCGCACGCTCAGAAAAGCGACATGTGGATCAAGAAAACCTAACAAGGAAAATCCAACATGTGCTCCAGCTATGAGATGGCTATTGATTCCTAGTTCCCTGTTTGATCGATTTTGCTTCCTCGGACTGCAGATCGATGGTGACAGTAGAGGTTTTTTGATGGGGTTGAACCCCAGTGTTTGTCTTGCTGTCTCCGAGGGCCTAAGTGTGCTTTGTGCTCTCATAACACACAACTGCCTGAGCCCTGCAGCAGTATTTGGCAGATTTGTTCAGAGAGGCTACAGAGGGATAAAGAGAAGGATTTCTCCGAGAGACAAAGACCTGTCGTAGCATCGAGTGAGCTGCGAGCATGGATCACAGGAGTGTATGATCTGATTTTTGCTTAATCTGGTTAAATTTCCAATGCTGTGTTCCCGCTGCAAACACCATTAAATAGGCAGCTGCTTTTTAGCCCTAGCCTTGTGTTACTATCTTCACATAGCTGTCATTTCAGGGATCGCAGTCCAAAGAGCAATCAATGTAACAACTTAACTTTTGAAAATGCAGTTACACATAAAAGCTTTCAACCACTTAACTATAACTTAACGTTCTTCAAAAAGTACAGCCAAAAATATATCTAGCTTGATATCATCCATTTCATTGGAGCAGCTCCCTGAAAATAACTTTCCTTCAGTTTTAGGTTTAAAAAATATTGAGGGAGACTCACGTTAGGACATAGTTGACGCTGACTATGCAGTGAGGTCTCGATGACCGGCTGTTGTGCACAATGGTGGCGTAACTCTGGACCCAGACCCAGCCGCCGTGCTTGGCCAGGAAACGATAATACTTAGTGGTGACTTGGCCTTTCACCAGCACTGAGGGGAAGAAAAGAGTGCGGCAGAAGAGAGAGATTAATTTCAACACATACATTTGTTTGTGTCACTGTGTGTTTGTGTGAGACTGTCTGCAGCAAGGTCTCGTAGAAGAAGAAGAGAGAGAGAGAGGCAGGTTGTGACTCACAGAGGTGGTGTGCACAGCGGAGATGGAAGGTGTCACAGCTGTGGACGTGATGGTACAAGGTTTTCTCTATCAGGTCCTGGGGCTCGTAACCTGTCAGCTCGGCCACCCTGAGGACGAATTAATCAGCTCTGTTAAAAAAATATACACACTGATACAGGGATTCTTTGATTTCTCTGTAATTCTTGTGTTAAAAGGGAAACTGTTGCATCTGTGGAGCTGCTCAGAGCTCATTCAAGTCCGCTGAATATGCTTTACACAAGATAAAGATAGAATTAGAAAGACAATGCGGTCACAATATAGTTGATTGCTTTTGTACCTGGAGTCGAGGAAGATGAGCTTCATGTCTAAACTGGCTCTGAACATGAACATGTTGCTGTGCAGTTTGATCTCCGTCACAGCGCTGGGCGGTAGTGAATGACCCACGGCCACCAAACCCACGTTCTGATAGCAGCCCTCGAAGGGGGACATGTCCAAACTGTACTGACGGATCTTCAGGTAGCCGCTGCAGTGGATCACCTGAGGAGGAGCAAGACAGAGTGAGGAAAAGGAAACCCCAGAAAAATGCATCTTTATTGCAAGGTGGAATGAAGTTGAATTATTCACTGCATGGAGAAAATTGTACTTTAAAAGAAACATTTTTTTTTCACATCAGACACATTACATAATAATATACATAATATTTAAAAATAAGATTTGTAGTCTAATAAGTATAATTAAAGCTTTTTAAATACGTAACTAATTGATTGCAATGAATTGTTTCATTAATGAATAACGACCTTATTAAATATCATGAGCCGTAAACAAAGTTGTAATGCCCACCTTGTATCCACCACTAGTCAGGCCTGCGTTTCTTTTTGCCAGCACACATTTCATCCGCAAAAAGAAAGAGCGCTCCATTTCATATTCTGAAGGATGAAACAAATATATATCTTAAACTGTTTGATTTATAACAACATTTAGAAACTCTCATAGACTGTCGCTGTATTTTTTTTTTTTTTGCGTATTTGGAAACGTTTTCAAACTGCACCGTGACTCACTTAGAGAGAAAAAAAAGGCCTCCATTTTATTAAGAATATTCAGTGATAACAAAATGAACCTATGATCTGTGTAAAAATACGAAAACACAATAATAATTTAATACACAAATGCTACGATGATTTAAATTCCAGATAACGCATAGAGCAGTAATGGAGCAGATTACGCACGCTTGCAGACTCCATCTGCGTCTGTCTCCCATCTGTGTAACACTGACATTTCTAATGGCTACATGCAGATTGCACACACAGTAAATTGTAAATTCGATTGCATAAAGACGTCGACATTTGCACTGCGGGAATATTTAATAGAACATGTGTTTTACCTTGGACGAAGTGTGAGTGATAGGGCTGATGTGGCGTCAGCACGGCGGTCATCTCGTCGTGATCGGCAGGATGGACATATTCATAAATACTGTTCCCAGTCAACTCTACCTGTTGACAATAACTCAGGTAATTAACACGTCATAACTGTCTGGTTGTTGTGTGTATATTTACATTTCAGCAGAATATCACAGGAATGCAGAATATTAGAAATACATGAATGTGTTTCTTTTTTTTTTTTTTTTTTGGAAAACGGACCTGAGACAGTCCTAAGTGGACTGACGCTGTCTCTGAGATGTACATTATTTTTCCATCCGGAGCCACAACGAAAATGAAGCCGTCCAACGTCTGTGAATAAACGAGAAGCCATAGATACACATTTGTCGTTATGACGTACACTGCCGCGTAGTTATATCGTATTGTCTTTATTATAACAATAGGCTTTACCTGCAGTAAATGAGATCCCAGCTCTCGTCCAACATTTTCCAAGGATCTTCGGCTTGTGTGACCCCACGCTTCACCCAGACCTGCACAGAGTCAAATAATAATGTTTGACTTTCAGACTATTGCTAATGCAATTTACCTTTTCATTAATATTAACAATTCAAATAGGATGTACGATATGACCATATAATTCTACATTGTCTGTGGTATTACAGTTGGGCAACTGAAAAAGCTGCCTCTCAAACTGTAGCCTATATAATAGGTTACACACACACACACACACACACACACACACACACACACACACACACACACACACACACACACTCAAGCACACACACTCACACTCTCACACTCACACTCTCACACATACCCTCGAGCCTGCAGGCGTGCCTATTAAAAAGGCCTATTTAGTGTTAAAGCATTCACACAGTGCGCTCCTGTGTGTCACATGTTGCTCAGAAGCTCTCTGTTGGTGTTTACAAGGTGCGTTCAAGGGCAACGTGCCTCTTCAAACGACGGTAATTCGACATTAATTGTGACGAGATGACATAGGCTCATTTAATACCACGATACAACTGCAAGAAAATATCAAATGAGATGTTTTATGGTTAAAAAAAAAAAATCTAAATTTAAATTGGACTAAAAATAGGCTATGCCTCTTCGTTCAGCAGGAGAGGAAACTGAACAAAGAAGATGAGCAGTGCAGTTATTTTAAATGTATTAGAAATCTCATGGAGCTGTGGTATCATCACTAAATGATAGATGTTCGCTTCCCTGCTGCAATCGAAAATGATATGGATAGGTAGCCTATCCGTTGTCGGACATGTAGCTTAATATCACTCCGCCAGAAGAGAAGAATGTAAAAAGAGAGTACAACACAATGTTGTTGTTTTTCTGCGGAAGATGCATTATATCAAAGTCGTTTTTCTTAATATTTATTGAGGCTATTTATTTTTTAAGTCTTAGTCTTTCTAGGCTATTTCTTCCACGGCAAATTTAATGACAGAAATATACCCATGTTTACGTGTGGCTTCTCTGATTTCATGGAAGATCATTACATTATTATTTTTTTTCTTGCATAAAAGCTGGAGCATGTGTAAGACAGTGTGGCTCGTGTTCACGTGGCTCTGGGTGATTAGAGGCCGTGCAGGGCCTTTTTTCATTTCTAATTGGTCCGTCTGGTTCTCAGTCACGCAGTGAAAGCAGCCTGTAGAGAGGGGCTGTTTAAAAGATGGTGGCAGATCGTTTCCTTTAGACACTGAATTAAAAACCAACATAATCCGTTAGGCAAGACTCCCTGCAGATCAGGGAAATATGGCTGCTATGTTCCCGAATCATCTGAATCATTTTAACATCGAATGATTTAAAATGAGCCTGTGACGTTGTGTCTTAGGCTACCTAAGTTGCCTTCAATTTTTTATTTTTTTTGATCTTCAATTAGCCAGGCTATGAGTATGACTAATACAACTAAAGTCGATTTAAAAATGACTCAAATGTAGCCTCGGCTTTATATTTGTATTTTAAAACAATAAATATTGTAGCTACTTTTTTTATTAGGCTATATAAAAACAACTAATGGAATAGATGTTATTTATGATGTTAAATAATGACTTTAGTCCCCTTGAGCCTTTTTTTCGGTGGCTGTGAATAAATTCACACTTTGTGACCTCGACAACATGCAAACACCTTGATAAAATAAAAATGTCTCACTATTGTTTTAAAGTAGGTTAAATAATGAATATGTTTGTAAAAATCCGTGTGTTCTCACTGAAGAGATGACGTGTTAAAAAATATATATCTCAGCGGAGTTGACAGTGGTGCGTTCAATGTCTCACCCTGAGGAAAAACAATCCTCATCTTCAGGTAACTTGTGGTCAGTCTTATGATCGACGCTTTGTCCAGCTGGGAGGTGATGGCGGACGGTAAAGGCAACATTTTAGCCAGTTCATAAAATTCACTGTTCTCCTTTTCTCGTCTAGTCCTTGCTGCAGTTTTCGATTTTTCCTTCATCTCTGCGCCGATTCACTGAGAAATCCTTCCGGGTCTGAATGTAGTCCTTCACATCAGCTCTTTGACTGAATCCTCCCTGCTTTGCCTCGTTTTCATCGCTGATTTGTCTTAATTAATAGAGAGGCTTGAGGAACCCCAAAAAATAAATATTATTATGGTAAATTCCTGATTAGGCTCAGTGACACATCAACTGGTTGTAGATAAACCTCCACTGTTCTGCAGCGACAATTCATCCATGACCTGCAAAACACAGACAGGAAAAACACACATTATTTCCATATCCACATGCATTTGCAGTGTCCCTGATTTTACACGGTTTGGTCGGACACGATGCAAGTGTCCTGCTTCAAAATGTTGATGCAGGCCTGAGAGAACGATAGAGCCGGATCTGGAAAAACAATGGCCCTGTGTTTAAATAATAGGCTAAGCTTTTTTTTTCCTTTCTTTTTTTGCAGAAAACGGAGAAGCAGAATGACCGAAGCGTAAAGGATAATATTTTCAGCAACAAGATGTAGGTGCTAACGATGAGAGAAGCAAAAAAATAAAAAAATCAATCAATGAGATACAATATCCCTTAGAGTTATTTTATTTTTATGAAATTAAAAAAAGCAAACGTAGCCTATTATTTCATCCCCCCCTAAAGGATTCAATCGTGTTTTTTAAGCTCCCTGTAAATAGGCTATGGTAAATTGTAGGCCTGATTTTAGAAAAAAAAAAAACAGACAGCCTTTGGTATGTATCCTAAAACAATTCAAACTTGGGCCACTGATATTCAAATTATTATTTTGCTTGTGAAAAAATAAGAATAATAAGAAACATACGTCATGTTGCAGATCGCTGCGTTTTGACTCAACAGTTCCGGAAACGTAACTGCGTTGAGGAAAACAACTGAGATTTAAAAAAAAAAAAAACTCACAGATTTATTTAGCCTATATATTTTTTTTCTATCAAATAAAATATTCTACGCTTCTTTTTTTTTTTTTTTTTAGCTCTGCGGGATGACAGACTTGTTAACAGAATTATTTGCAGTCTTCCTACCCGCGCTGACACTGTTATTTCCCAGCATCGGAATCGATCCTGTAGCATTCCCAGCAGCCTGCTGGGAATTTCACCTGTCCTGAACCGGGTTCACCAGTCGTCCCAGTTAAGTTCGGTCTCAGCTCCTCGTGGATTTCCACCTGGAAAGGCGACCGGGCCGTGCACTGCATACACCTCTCCAAATTATAAGCACGCGCAACGAGTGGCATTCGTGCCCAACAAGCCTGCTCTCCTCCACTATCTCAATGTCCCTCTCTGGAGCTGCCGGGGACCCGCCCACTCTGTGCCCAGCCTGCTCTGATTGGACGGGAGCGTGGAAAGTAATATCCTGATTGGAGACCAACCGTGGCGTCAACTTTGTACGCCAAGGTATTCGTACCGTTGGCCTGAGTGAGCTGCGATGTGATCTTGTTGTGTTTTTGTCATTAGCGTGGAGATCACGGATCAAGCAGAAATAAATGAATAAATCCGCTTAAAACAGCGCAGCGAGGGAATGTTTGCAGGTGATGGGCTAAATAAAAGCTTCAGTAGGTGATTTTTAAATGAAAACATCCTGAAGTTAAAAACATGTTGTTGTTTTTTTACCAAAGAAAACAACATTAAGATTTATTTAATGGATTAAAACAGACAATTAGAATCAGTTAACTCACATTTCTCATCATGTGAAATTAATGTTTTCTTCATATCATGAAATCGACCGGAATGAATAATAGGCTGCATGTAGGCCCATAACGCGCTCAATTAACAGGCTCCAACTTTTCATCGAGAAGGTTTTTTTTCTTCTTTGCACTGAACCCCCCCCCCAGTTAAATAATTTAATTGACAATTTGATGAAATGGGTTGGTTTGTTACTTTTGTTTAAGAAGCACCCACACATGAAGTGTAGATACACCAAATGGTGTGAGTTATTATTCCTTTCGCTGCATTCCTCATGATGCTGCTGTTAGTTGTCTGTTAATCATGAGGCTGTAAATCCTCCACCTGCAGAGCATGGACCTGCTCACCTGCTTCAATGGTTCCACTCGTTTCCCCACATTTTATTTCTCTGAAGTTTGCCTCCCTCTGGTCTGGATTAGAACCTTTTGGGTTCAGAATTTCCCTGAATTGAAGGCCTTTTTTTTTTCTTTATTCCTCAACAATGAGAGGGTTTTTAAAACAGAAGAGGTTCTGAATTCTGTGAAGTGGAGAGGATATGTGCTCATTCTTGGACTCTAAATTTGAAAGTGTAATCATGAGGGTTGGCTTTGCATGATTTATCTATTTATTTCTTCCACATGGACAACATAGAGCTCATTTTTTTCCTCTTATCAAATTTCCCTTCTGATCAAGTTCTCTTTGTATCGAGCAATTCTGGACTTGTGAATTTATTTATCTTTTTCCCGAAAAAAATCCAAATGCAAAACAGTTTACACCCTTATCGGAGAGCAATGAGCCAAACCAGAGCTCAGGCGATAGTTTTGGTGTCCGTCACACCCGTTTATCTGAGGATTAATTTCCACGGTGTGAATCAGATGAGAGCGCCGCAGCGCATGTAGTTTTTTAATTAGATACCTCGCGCTCAGATGGAGGAGGATGGGGAGGGGGAGGAGAGGGGGGGGGGAGATGGGGGGGGGGCTGTTGGTTAGAACAGCGGGCGCGGGGACGGGGACGCGGACGTATGACGGTGAGCTCATTACGCACATAATTAGGTCTTAAATTGATGCTGCATCCTGCCGTAATTGGAGATTCTCCTGCTGTCTGGGAGCAGATATCTCCTTAGTTGTGTGTGTGTGTGTGTGTGTGTGTGTGTGTGTGTGTGTGTGTGTGTGTGTGTGTGTGTGTGTGTGTTGTCTTAATAGCTTCAACTGGACTCAAAATAGGTCCTTCAAGGCTCTACCTCTATTTTTTTCCTCATTTCTGACAGAAAAAAACAGGGAAATAGAGCACATGCCGTTTCACAATGTTGTTACATTTAACATGTTGTCATTTTTAGATGTTTCTAAACAAAACCACCACATCTAATGTTTACACAACCTTGCATTTTCAACCTCTTGGTCTGTGAAGGTGTCCATCATCAGGATCTAATTTCTCTCCTATCTTTTTTTTACACAATACCATTAAAAAGTCAGAGGTCATTGCATTGTCTATTCTAACATCCTCCTCAGTACAAAATGAATTCCCTGTATGATTTTTAGCCCTAAAAAAATCTCCACTTTAGTCACATTTGGTGCCCTAACCCCCATTTTTTAACAAACCATCCAAGCAAATAGTGCAGCTTCCTGTCACCATGTACCTCTCTGCAGTGACTGACAGGTTTCTGGGTACACGCTCTGATCCGCAGGTAGAAGATTTACCCCGCGTAGACATACTGTTAATGCCCCCGCCACAGGCCGTCACACCGGGGGAGCTCGCTTTGCCGTCCTTCCACCCACTCCCCACCCCTCTCCGCCACAGGAGTCTCACCAATCTTTCCATTTTTATTGTGTTTTTATAAATCACCCTTCACAGTGGGAAACCTGGTCTGAATTTCTCCCCAGCATGAACAAAAAAAAAAAAAAAAAGTATTGTGAGGGGGTGTGGGTTAGTGAAGGTTGTGTAGGAAAGGACTCAGGGAAAAGGTTAGAAGAAGGCTGGTGAGCAAGACACTTAGAGGTCATTTCCCCCTCACATACCTTCCAGCTCCAAGATCCAGGATTTGGTTCTTGATGCTCTATACTTGCATTAACTCACATACAATCTATTACATACCTTTTATAAATGTGCTTTAGTGAACTCGAGTGAAACAAAATAGAAACTTCAGCATCTCAGATTAAACAAAGACATGAAGCTTTTTTTGTAGATCTAGATGGTGACAGAAATAGAATTTTTGACCCTGCACTCTCGTTACATTGTCGGATCCATGATGGACTGTTAAAAAAGACACACACAGTGAATTAAAAGCAGAGACTTTATACTTTCATTTGTACAGAAGTACCTTACTACCATGAGTTAAGCCATTGTTAATGGTATGTTATTCATGTTGATTCATCAGTGCATTACAATATATTACTTTCCAACTCATTAGCAAATCAGAAAATACCAATATCAATTATTTCCATTGTAATGAATCCCCACTCCGCCATACTGTGATTCTGGTTGTGCAGAGGCCCCACTTGACTAAACAGCGTCTGTAAAATATGTTTTGGAGTCAAGTTGTTAAATAAAAATGTGTGCCTTGTATTAGTTTATAACAAATATCAGAACTGTAATTAATTATCTGGGTATTTCTGTCATCTAGACGTATTAATGAATCAATATGCCTCGATAAAGAATCCAATCATGACCCAAAGAATTGAAATTGAATTGAATTGTGAGCTTCTTGACAATAACCAGCCCTGGTGTGTTATGATAGCAGGGACTAATGTAGCTTCTAAACTTCTTCCTCAGCTTCAAGCAGAGAAGATGGGCAGCTTCATCAGACGTCTGGTAAATTCAGTCATTTCTAACTCCACATCCCATGATTTTTCTTTTCATTTTTTAAATCCAAGTCACATCACTAGTGTGGAAGCTTACCAAACTTTGTTCAGCCATCTCTGAAATTGCCAAAGAATAAGAAGACTTTTTCTTTTTTTGCGCAAATGTATGGTTTCTGCCTGGAGTTTCCCAAGTCTTCCTTAAGAAGATTTTTTATTTACAGTATATTGTTGAGGCCATTTTCACCTTTATTGGATAGGACAGCTGAAGAGACACAGCACAGTTTGGGAGGAGAAAGCATAGGGCTGGGAAATATGACCTGAAATCAATATCACGATTAATTGAACATTTTACCTCCATTATGATTAATGAACGATTTCATTTGAGTTTTTTGCCCTCATAGTTCACTGACATGGTCTCTACTGTAAACATGCTCAACTATTAAAGCTGGGATATTTTTTTATAAAGAAAGAATATCTGATGAACTATTGAATATTTCAAACTAAAATCAAAGCATCGCATTAAAATGAAA